TCATGTGCTCGCTCTCTCTCACTCTCTCTCAAATAAATAAATAAAATCTTTAAAAAAAATAAAAATAAAAAATAAATAAATAAAGTTGCCTTGTGTATCGAATCCCTATCCGATGAGCGCAGTAAGAGGCTGGGTGTTACCAGGCATGTTGTTTGATGGGTTAGCATCCAGTCTGGCTCTGCTGGGTCTGCCCTCACGACCAGCTCTGCTCATGCCTCTGGGCCTCCCCTGACTCCCCGCTGCCTGGGCCCTCCCTCTTTTGTCCTCCACAGGCTCCTCCTCATCCCTCACAACCTAGCTCAGAAGTTGCCCCATGGGAAGCCACCCCCAGCCCCCAGGTCTGCCCTGTATCACGTGCATCCTCTTGGTGGAGCCCTCAGCCTCTGCACTGTCCTTTTTACTACTTCTGCATCTCTGCTTTCATGGCGGCGTGGAGGGGACCAGAGTCTCCTGTCGTGCCCAGGTAAACACTGTTACTTCCTTTTCTTTCCCCTCAGCCTCAAGGACAAAAACCAAGGTGAGCTCATCCCGCCTGTGCTGAAGTTCACAGTGACCTACCTGAGAGAGAAAGGTAAGTGAGAGCTGACTTCAGCCAGGGGTGCGAGGGCCTCCGGGTGCACCTCCCTGGGGGGGGGCCTGACTCACGCCCTGAGCACCCTGCAGACCAGGGAATTGGAGGGGCTGGAACCTGTGCAGGGAGGCTGACCAGGATGGACTGGGCTCAAGCAGATGGATTGTCTGGGTTTGAATCCTGGCCCCACTGTGTACTGGTTGTGTGACCTTGGGCAGTTACTTACCTTCTATGGGCCTCTGATTCCTCATCTGCCCAGTGGGGTTAGTAACGGTACCTGGGCCTAAATGACATGATACACGTAAAGCCCCCCATAAAGGGACCCCTTTGACATGATAGATAGCTTGGTTTGCAGGTGCCTTCCCCAGTGGGGTGGATGCATTCAGCGATCAGAGGGGGTGAGTCTTGTGGGTCCTCCAAGACTCCTGAGGCCAGAGCTCAGATCCACAGGGAGAGTGTGGAGGTATGGAGGCTGCTTTCACCCTGACAGGAGGATGGTTCTCTGGGTGGGACAGGCCGTCGGGGGATGGGGGGAACCACCTGCAGGTGCAGATGCTGCAGAGTGGGAGTGGGGGTGCATCAGACGAGATGTGGGAGCCACCACAGCTGGGGTCCCTGGTGCTCTGTTACTTGGCGTGCTCCTGGAACTGCATGCTCTAATCATAGAAAGCTCTATGAGGCAGCGCCTCTCTAGCTGGGGGATCCGACTGTCATTTGGAATGGTCTCTACTTTGGCGAGAAGTCGTTTGCAGCACTTCCCGTTCTGCTCCGTGTTTCAGGAACCAACAGAAGATAGTGCTTAACGACCGTGAGTCAGAAACCATGAAAGGGAGTCTCCCTGGGTTTAACATATCAATTCCTTTATTACAAAATCAAACCAAAAACCCAGGCCTGAGTAGGAACTCTGTACATATTTGTTGGATGAGTACATGATTAAGCATGTACTCATCGGGCGCCTCCCTGCATCCAGCCCGGATGGACTTGCTGGGGTTGCCATGGTGACCGCAGCACCCAGCCCCTGTTCTGGGGGCTCACGGTCGGAACTGAGAGACTCCGTGATGTTTTCCTCCCTTAACGCTGTGACAACCACAGACTTACACGGGGGTGAGCTGTCCTGGAGATCAGGGGACCTGAGCTCTGACACGTGGGCCGAGGGTCACTGGATCACTTTCCTCGGCTGCATAACAAATGACCACTTAATGGCTTCAAATGGCATGAATTTATTCTTTCAGTTTCCGTAGGTCAGAAGTCTGGGTGCTCTGGGGCCGGTCTGCTCAGGGTCTCACAGAGCGAAACTCCAGGTGTTAGCCAGGCTGCATTTCTTTCTGGATTTCCACACTCATTAGGGAGGTTGTTGGCCACACTCCGTTCATGCAGAGATGCCCATTTCCTTGGCGGCTGTCAGCCTCTTTCTCTTCCTAGAGGTGGCACACTTTCCCCTTCCCATGTGGCCCCCCCCTCCACCAACAGACAGCCTCCCAGATGTCGAATCCCAGCCTCCATGCTCCAGATCTCTGTTGCCAGGAAGAACCTGGTCCCTTTTCAAAACGCTTGCCTGATTAGGTCAGGCCCACCCAAGATAATCTCCATCTTAAGGTCTGCTGCTTTGGACCTGACTTCTGTCTGCGGAGTTCCTTCCCTGCAGCATGTAGACTAGTGTTTGAATGAATACCTGGGAGAAAGTGTCTGTACCACAGGGTCCAGGAATTTGGGAGCCACCTCAAAACTTTTCCTACTGCAGTCTCTCAGAATAAAAAGAGAGGGACCAGCCACTCACACAGAGGGAACAGTGCATGCAAAGGCCGGGAGTAGTAAGGAGCGTGGGGCAGACTGGAGGCTGGAGGAGGGGGCAGTGGGGCTGGAGAGGCCGGACTGTGCAGGTCCGTGGTAAGGCCCCACGGGAAGCTAACCTATGAAGACGGGGAATGGCTCCGTTTACAGACTGATCAGAATCGGATGTATAACGTTGAACAGCTCACTCGGTTTCAGAATGGAGAAGAGACTGGGAGGGGAGCCCAGTGCTATCCCATAACACTTGGCAAGTACTTCCTGGGTGTCTCCTATATTGGGCAACTGGATTTTTAACTTTATTTAATTTTTACTACTTAAATGGAAATTTAAATCACCCTGTGCAGCAGTGGCTGCCATACTGGATGAGTGAGCACCCATGGAGCCTTCTGGACGCTGTGCCTCGTCCCGTGGACCCTTTCTGCAGCCCTCAGAGGCACGGGCTCGTGGCCTTACTCTGTGGACAGGGCGGCCGAGCTCAGAGAGGCTGTGTGCTTTCACTGAGGTCACACAGCTGGATGAGCAGAGTTGGGCTGGACTCCAGGTCCCTTCCTGGGGGCCGCAGAAGTAGAGAGTCAGGTGGGGCTGGGGAGTATAGAAGTTTGAGGAATAAAGGTGGGGATGTTGGACAGTGGGGGTGGCTGGGAATGAACCAGGCTGGAGAGCATTCCCTGCCAGCCACAGGAGGGTGATGTGTGGGCAGGAGGAGTCATGGAATGTTCCAGAAACCTGATGTGCTGGGACCTGTGAGATGCCTGAGGTCCTCTCTCCGTAGGACTCCGCACTGAGGGCCTGTTCCGGAGATCGGCCAGTGTCCACACCATCCGCGAGATTCAGCGGCTGTACAATCAAGGTGAGTCTGTACCCCAGAGACCCCTCATGCTGAGCCTCCCACCTGGCCGGCCTGCACCGCCCTCCAGGGCCGCAGAGTCCCAAATGCCGGGGTAGCGTAGCTCCCCTGCCCCACCCCACCCCACCCCCAGAATGGCCCAGGGCTCTGGAGAGCGGAGGAGGGTGCAGCGGCAGCGTCCCCGGGTCCCACAGGTGACAGGGGCACGCCCCGGACGTGTGGCTCCGGGAAAGCTCTTCCCCTTGGGAGTTTTAAGCCATCTGCATCAGAGCCCGTTGTGAAGCGGACTCCCAGCCCCATCAGAACTCACATACGATGTTCTGTGTCCAGGGAGGCCCGTGAACTTTGATGACTATGGCGACTTCCACATCCCTGCTGTGATCCTGAAGACCTTCCTGCGAGAGCTGCCCCAACCACTGCTGACCTTCAGGGCCTACGAGCAGATTCTCGGGATCACCAGTAGGTGCCTGCCCTGGGGGTGCCAGCCGAGGACCAGTCCGGGGGCAGGGGCTGGCCCGCATCCTCCTGTCGCCGTCTGGCACGGTGGGCCACGGTGTCCATGGCCAGGCCAGGCCACCACGGCCGGGCTAGCTGCAGGGACAGGCGCGTCGTTGACCCAAGGGTGGCAGAATCCCTGCGGTGGCGGCGTGTCTTGCGGTGGGCGTCGGCGATTACCGGAAGGAGAGCAGGAGAAGGCGAGCCGGCCAGGAGGATGAGCAGAGGGGAAGGCTTGGCGGTGTGACTGACGTCCTCAGACTTCCTAGGAGAGGGAAGTTAAAACAGGGTCACTGGGCCCCACCCCGGAGTGGGCTGAGAATCTGCATTTCTAGCCAGTTCCCAGGTGATGCTACCAGCCAGGGTTTTGTGCCATGGAACCCCGAGCTGAGAGGACTGAAGCACAGCCTATGGGTAGAGATCTGGCCCCAAAGGAACAAGTCTTAGGAGCAGAGCTTGACCTGTGGCCTTTTTGCACCAGGGGGTGGGGCTGGGCTGGGGCAGATGCTGAGAATTTTTAAGAATTATGATGGAAATAACATAAGCACAGAGTGTAAAAAAAAAAAAAAGCCACCCTGAAATCAACGGAGCAGAGGCTCTGTCATGAAACGGGAGTCCCGGCCGACCCTTGGGGTCCCACGCCGGCGCGGACCCGGCAGAAGCTCTGTGCGCGCTCCCCGCTTGGCCAGGAACGCTGCTTACGCACGCTGGCTTCGAGCTGGCTTCCTAAATGTTTTCTACCGTTACCCATCTTCTCATCCCTCCCTCCTTGTGTGCATATCTACTCGTTCTTTTCATGGTCATGCAGCCTTCCGTCCACTTTATTACTCTCTGGGTAAACGTTTGGGGCTGTTTCCAGTTTTGTTTTGAGCCCTGCAAATGTTAAGATCAGATAGTTCCGGAGTTCCAGTTGTCGAGAACCGAGATGCTGCCAGAGGCTTTAATAAAGATCCCGCTCTCTGGACTGTGGCCTCACTCGGCCCGGCTGCGTGCTGACGGGCATATAGGGTCACCAGATTTAGCAATAAAAAAATACAGGGTGCTCACCTCAATTTGAATTTCCAGTAAACAATGAATACTTTTTTAGTGTAAGTAATAGTTGCTGTTTATCTGAAATTGAAAGTTCCCTGGGTGTCCTCTATTTCATCTGGTAACCCTACTCGGGTGGGATGGGTTTCTCCTGGAAGTGATACAAAAGCAAGGCTTTCTGGGGTACGCTCGGGAGAGATGGGCTTTCTGGGTGGCCTGCAGTGTCCAGGGCACAAGGATATCATAGGGGGGACATCTGTCTGATCTGCAGCAAGGAGGTTAGGAGGACTGGCTCAGAGCCGCACAGATCTGGATCCAAGTCTGGGCGTCACCACCACCATTAGCTGTGTGACTTTGGGCACGTCACTTAACCTCTCTGAGCTCACTTTCCTCATCTGTATAGAATGGGGGCTGCTTTGAGGATTAAATGTGCATAAAACACATGGCATCGCTCATGGCACCTGCTAAGTGCTTTCTGACAGTCTGCAGGCGCCTCCCGCCTGCCTGCTCACCGCTTAGTGCTCTTTCTCGAAGGGACCGCGGTGAGAGCTGGAGGTAGACCTTGTACGAGGACCCGCTCTGGGACCATAATTCGTAGAAAGATGACATTGAGGCCAGGAAGCTGAGGTCCAGGCACCAAGATGGCGGCCTCCAAGCTCATTGGTTTCTTGGGAATATTAATTTCACGGGAACTCTCTGTCCATTGACATTACCCACGACAGCTCGAGTTCATGAAAGAGCTTTTATTAAAAGGCCAACAAGAACATTCATGGTAGGGAAATCCGTGCCTTTCAGCAGTGGCTGTGTTTGGAATGCACACGGTGTTCATGGTAACCCTGCCCGAGGCTTAGCTGGAGGAGGTGAGCGCGTTGGAGGCGGGGGGAGTGAGTGTGCACACGTGTGTCTGCAGCAGGAGCGTGCTGAGCACCCGGGGAATCGTGGGTGCGCTTTGACTTGCAGCTTATGGAGCTCAGTGGAGGGCTTAGTTACGAGGAAAGTGGGGGGTCTGAGTCTGGGGCAGCCTCACCCAGGTTCGTGGTGCAATGGGGGGCCCTGAGCTGCAGGGAATCACAGACAGGTTAAGTCAGCCTGGAGCAGGCTGGGCAAACTTTCTGTAAAGGGCCAGGTCGTCTTTCAGGCTTTGTGGGTCAGTCCGTGTTGCCATCCTCAGCTCTGCGGTTCTGCACAAGTAGCCACAGATGACGTATAAATGAAGGGGTGTGGCTCTGTGCCAGTCAAGCTTTATTGACAGAAGTGGGCCGTGTGGCCCACAGGCTGCAGTTTGCTGACCGCTGGTGTAGACCATTCCCACGTATGAAGTGAGTGAGTGGGTTTCATGCGCTCTCTGGGAGGGTGTAGTTGCAGTACCAGGTGTAAAGAAGGGACTGGAGCCCTGGGAAGGGAGGGCTTTGCGGGGAACGGCCACGTGGCCTGGAAGGGAGTGAGGCCCCCAGGCCCGACGTCGGGACAGTCTGTCCTCAGAGCTGTCCCCCCTGCGCCCACGCCGTCCCCTCGGGGAAGACCGCGGAAGAACCCTGTGCCGTTGTAGGTGTGGAGAGCAGCCTGCGGGTGACCCGCTGCCGCCAGATCCTGCAGAGCCTTCCAGAACACAACTACGCTGTCCTTAGCTACCTCATGGGCTTCCTTCATGAGGTGAGTGGGCAAAGCAGGGCCCCGGTGGGGAGGCCCAAACTCTGTGCCTGGCCCAGGGGGCCCCCTCCTGCACATGGTGCCCACACAGACCAGGGCCTGGGGTCTCCCTCGCCCAAGGACTCCACTTCTGTGCCTGCCCCTGCTGACCCCATACCTGGCAGCCCTCAGTCACTGATGGGACCTTCTTGGCTGAGGTCCTCTGCTCCCGCGTCATCTCCTGCAGGGGCTGTCTGTGGAGGAAGGGGCTGGGTCCCCAAGCCAGGGCACCGAGCCTGACGCGCAGTGTGAGCAGACTGAGCAGGCCGTTCCTGAGAGAGGAACGTGTCACCGGGTGCGCGAGTGTCCTGGGGCTGCCGTAACACGGTACCACTGCGTGGGCAGCTATAGACACAGAAATGTGCGGTCACGGTCCTGGAGGCCAGAAGGCCAGAATCCGGGTGTGGGCAGGGCCGTGCTCCCACAGGGGCTCTAGGGGAGGGTCCTTCCTGCCCCTCCCAGCTCCTGGTGGCTCACACGTCCCTTGGCTTGTGGCCACCTCACTCCTGCCTGTCTCCACACGGCCTTGTGCCCTCTCTGTACAAACCTCCTTCCGCTTCCTCTTACAAGAATGCTTGTCATTGCATTTAGGGCCCACCTGGATAATCCAGAATGATCTCACTTTGAGATCCTTGATTACATCTGCAAGGACCCTTTGTCCAAATCCGTCACATCCACAGGTTCCTGGTGGATATCTGTGTTGTGGGGCTGCCATTCCACCCCCTACACAGAGTGAGAAAATGAACGGTGCGAGAAACACCTGTCCCGGCTCTGGGTCCGGGCTGAGCTCCCCACTCCCGGGGCAGGGAGCAGTGGCCTTCGAGGTCAACAGGGAAAACCTCAACAGGTCCAAACGGGCCCCTCCCTTTGCTTCCAGACGCACGACCCTCTGCCGTCTGACCCTTCCTGGAACACTCCTCCGTCCAGGCCCTTTGTAGGCAGTGTGGGGTGCAGGCATGGACGAGGCAGGACTTGGCCATGGGGCTCCCAGCCGTGGGGCGCATTTCCACCCACAGTGTGACGACACCACGGCAGGGTCCTGCCCAGGGTCTTCGGGGCTTATGCAGGAACCCTGCTCCATGGCAGGTGGCCTGGGGATGTGATCACCAATGGAGGGGAGGGGACCTCCGGGCAGAGCTAATGTTACATGTTGGAGTCTGTCAAACACCACCTCTTGGTTTTAAAAATAAACTATTTCGGGGGCGCCTGGCTGGTGCAGTCAGTAGAGCAGGCGACTCGATCTTGGGGTCATGAGTTCGAGCCCCATGTTGGGCGTAGAGATTGCTTTAAAAAAATGAACTGTTTCGTCTCCCTCTCTGTCACTTGATCTTATTTCTCAGAAGCCAGAAACTAAGTTATCCTAATCTTTTTTTTTCCTACTTCTTTTTCATTAGCTAGAGATGGATTTATTTCTCTGTCCTCCACCATGGCACTGACATTAATCATCCCATGGGGCTTGGCGCTGGGCGGCATTGGCCCCTGGTGCGCACCTGCAGGGGCGTGGGGGCTGCCTGTCTCACAGACGCAGGGCTTCCTCACCAGATCCATAGGGGGTCACCAGGCAGTGCAACCCCCCCAGTAGTTCTGTGCTCTCCCATGACCCCCGAGGCTCTGCATTGCCTACTTCTGATTCATAGAGGGCCCCAAGACCCTGGAGGCAAGGAAGAGGTCAGGCCATGCCCTCTTATGGCCCCCCTGCCACCTACTGGCCACATGACTTCGGGCAAGTCCCCTGCATCTTCTGGGCCTTAGTTTCTTCACCTGTAAGATGGGTGATGTATCCTGCTTTTTGGGGTTGTAAGTGCTGTAAGGCAAGCTCTTCCCTTCCCCACCGTCCCCAGTCCTCCAATGACCCCCGTGTGCTAGTCAGTCTTGACCATGCCCTATTCACCGGCCAAAGTGTGGATATCAGAGACGTGGTCTGGCTGGGTGACACTAAACACCCTGCTTGCACCCACAGTGCTGGAGGCCCCCCCCGTAAGGGGACCTCCCCAGTCCTCTGGAATGGAAGAGAAGACTGGGGCCCTGAGGAGATCCCAGAAGGAGCTTACAGACGGTCAGAGCCAGAGGGTCCCTTGGAGCATCAAGACTGAGTCCTTCCTTCTACAGATGGGGAAACTGAGGCCCAGAGCAGGGAGCTGGCCGTACAAGGCCGTAGCACAGAACCCACAGTCACTGGCGGTCTCATGTGTGTCCTCCAGGTGTCCCGGGAGAGCATTTTTAACAAAATGAACAGCTCCAACCTGGCGTGCGTCTTTGGGCTGAATTTAATCTGGCCATCCCAGGGGGCGTCCTCCCTGAGCGCCCTCGTGCCTCTGAACTTGTTCACCGAACTGCTGATCGAGTACTACGAGAAGGTCTTCAGCACCCCGGAGGCCCGCGGGGAGCTCAGCACTGGCGTCCCTGAGGCAGGTGAGCGGGGCGGCCCCTTCCCTGAAGGCTGCACAGGAGACAGACCCTCCATGGGCCCCGCCTCGCCCCCCGCGCCTCCGCGGCCCCTGCCGGCGGCTGGGACGCTCCGCTAGGGTGGGAAACGCCACACTGAAGTCTGTGCTGTCCTGTGCTTTGTAAACTTGCCGTTCAACTTCTGGTGAACAGCCAGAGTTCTGACTCTTGGCCCTTCTGCCTCGTTCTTGGGCTGTGGGCTGAGATAAGATGACGGATCCCTCAGAATCATAACCCAGTGTGGCTGAACTGGGGCCACGCTGGGAGTCTGTCGGTGAGCAGCCCTCGTCCGGCTGGGATCCAGGTCCACTGCTGTGGCATGCCACTTGGAGCCACGGCTGTTCATTACTGTCCGCGGGTGAGCAGCGGGCTGGGCGTCTCTTCTGCTCTGGCCGGGGCTCGCGTGGGTGTCGGGCTGGCTGGGGCTCAGCTGGGGGGACGCAGCTGGGTCCCTGCTGTGTGGGGGGTGGTTCTCGTTTGCTCCCCAGCCCTCACTCTGCTTTATCATCCTGCTCCTTCTCGTGCCCTCAGCTAACCCAGGCCAGAACGGTCCTCTTGTGCAGCTTGGAAAGTGAGCATGGTTTCATTTATTTCCTGTCCTGCCACAAAGCCTTGTTCTTTTCTTCCTTTTTCTTTTTTTCAAACCCAGCCCTCCAGCTCTGACCCCGCCACAGCCCGGCACGGAGAGCTGAGACCCGGCCACAGCCTCTGGACAAGCTGCCTGCTGTCTGCACCCCTGCCCCCGGGAGGGGGTCTGTGCTCCCACAGTTCAGCACAAGCCCAGAAAAGCCTCAGAGTTCTGTTGCCAGGAAAAAAAAAAAAAAAAAAAACAACCTGAAATAAAAATGATGGGTCCCTTAAGAGCGCAGCGCTGTGAGCAGCAGAATTAACAACGACTTTAAATCAAATCTCGTGCATTATGCAGAAGGGTTTGCGGTGTGACGCACGGCTGTGAAATGTATGCCTCAAATTTCCTGACTCCGAGAGGTGGCCCCAAGACGTTTTCCTGTGGCTGCTTTGATAACCGTCTCCCTTTCACGAGCGGTAATTGTGGAATCCCAGCTTCAGCACAGCGTGGCCTTGTCACCCTCCCTTGTATCAAAGCACCATTTCCCTATCATTTCCACAGCAAAGGAGAGCGATTACAGTGCTACTGTGTGGCAAGCACGCGCGGTGCATTTCAGCGTCAAACAATGAAATGTGATGTGGAAATGAGGACTCCAGGGTGTCTCTGTTGACAGGATGTGTGGAATAAATTGTTCAAACATTCACTTTTGCAGAAACGACAGAGATTTATTTAAGTGACTCCAGAGATTAGGCAGGCTGCCCAGAACTTGTAGCTGATATCCACAATGAATTTATTGAATCCCGTCCAGAACATGAAAGTCAGTGGCAAAGCAAGCGGCTGGTCTGCCCCGGAGAGAGCCAGGCTGCCATCACTGGGGGGAGCCAGGACCGGGCACCTCACTTCTGCCACCAGCTGCGATTCACAGCCCTGGGGTCCTGGGCCAGTCATTTTGCCCAGCGCAGGGAGTTCTAGGTCAGAAGGCTCAGCTTGGGGTTCTTTCCCCCCACGGTGGGTGCGTGAGCAGGGTGCATTCCTCGAGCCTTTTCTTGCTGGTACAGTGCGGAAGGCGGTATCCACTCTGCAGTCCCCTATGTGCTTTCGAGCACCTGCTTTGGGCCAGGCAGTGCCTGTCCCACAGATACAGAAATGAGGAGGATGCACTTCCTGCCCTCAGAGGCTTGCAGAATAGTTGGGGAGTGAATAAGCAAAGAAATGCACAAAGAAGCGTATTTGGAGCTAAAGCAGTGCGCGCAGGACACAGGCAAGTGCGGGGAGGGGACAGAGGAGAGAGTCATGGGCACCTCCCAGCGTTCTCATCTTGAGATACGCGGGCAGCTGAGGGTGGTGGTCTTCCCTGACGTGGAGAGGGTGGGAAAGGAAGGGCAAGGTCTGCTGTTGGTTTGATCACAAAAAGTCTGCTGTTGTGTTGTAAGAACAACCACTGCTCAGAAGGGAAAAAAAATTCAGTGACAAAGTGTAGAAAGAGAAGGTGAAAATCACTTGAAATTTTACTGCCCGTAGATAACCACTGTTCATATTTTGAGGAACGGGCACTTTTATATACTGCCAGTAGAGAGATAGATTGGTCCGGTCACTTTGGAGAGCAGTTTAGCAAGCTGGTGAAGGTAAAGCTGATCCAGCAGTTGTGTGTCTAGGCAAGGAACCGAAGAGGTAGGTACGAGAGCATCACTGCGGTGTTCTTGTCAGAGCAAATAATTAGGTGCAGCCTGAGTGTCCATCACTAGAAGAAATGGCAGATAAAGGAGTTACATCCATGTGACTGAACAGTAAAAATGAACGAAGCGGATCTGTATGCCTCAACAATGGCAGATCTCCAAATAGTACATTGAGAAGGAAAAGAAAAATCAGAGGATGATAAATACCGTGTGTTTTCACTTGTGTAAAGTTCTAAAAGTCCCTCATCCTATATCTACCTCATGAATTGTACGGTGTTACACTTTTTAAAAAAGATTTTATTTTTTAAGTAATCTCTACACCTGTCGTGGGGCTCGAACTCACAACCCCAAGATCAAGAGTCGTGTGCTCCACCCACTAAACCAGCCAGGTGCCCCAATATTACTTTTTGAACAATATACATAGAAGACGTCTCCACAGAAAAAGTGAATAGGTAGGAGACATACCAGATTCCTCAGACAGAAGAACAAAAGGGTCCTTAACTATTTCTGTCATGTTTTGTGTATGTAAGTGTTCTGTTTCCAGTATGGCTGAATAACACCTACAGGATTTGACCTTTCCACAGGCAACATTATGAGCTCTGGACAAAATACAAAAGAACAAAAATAAACAAAAAAGTGAGCAATGACTTGAAGGCACTGGAGAATGAACAAGGACAGATTCTGGAGGGATGTCCACACTTAGAAAAAGTGAATAGCACAGGATGAGCTTCCATTATGTAGCTTTTAAGCTGAGCCAGACTGAAGTTCACACTTGTGTGAGAATGGCTTTATCTCCAGGAGAAATTCACAGTCTTTTTGGCTTGAAGAACAGAGGACAGAGTTTGGGACAACAACAGTCACCAGACAGTGGGCAGGGAATTTCATACGGAAGAAAGCCAGCTCAGGAGAGCCTAAATTCTGTGCATAAACTCTGCTCCAGGTTCTGCCTGATCCCTGAGCCACACCTCTGTAGGACAGACACCAGCTATGGATAAAACACCCAACCTGAGGTTTGAGCTACCAATAGACAGGGTCTGTGGCTTGACTCCAGCAGAACCCTCTACAAAAGGGTACAAAAGGTACAAAAAGCCTCTACAACGTAATATTAACAATGTTCAGCATGCAATGAAAAATGATTATATGAAGAACCAAGAACATGCAGCCTACTCTAAAACAATCAACAGACACCAACCTTAGAATGATGCAGGTGTTAGAAATAACTGTCGAGGATGTTACAATAGCTATTATACACATCCTCAAGTATATAAAGGAAAACAGGCTTACGATAAATGCAAAGATAGGAAATCTCAGTAAAAAATAAACATAGAAATCATAGGAAACGGGGAATTCTAGAAAACCAAATACAATACCTGAAATTACGGGGGAGGGGGGGAGGAAACTCCCAAAAGCAAAATAAAAACACTGGTTGTGTTTAATAGGAGAATGGAGATAACAGAAGAGAGTCGGTGACCTTGAATGTAGCCTAATAGAAATTACCCTATCTATAAAATAAAGAGTAAAATGGGAGCACCTGGCTGGCTCAATACGTAGAACACGTGACTCTTGATCTCGGGGTTGTGGGTTTGAGGCCCACGTTGGGTGTAGAGATTACTTAAATTAAAAAAATAAACAGTAAAAGGATTGGAAAACAATATGAACAGAGCCTCAGGGACCTGTGGGGCAATAACAGAATATTTCACAAACGTGTAATTGGAGTTCTGGAGAAGAGAGAGTGGGGCACAAAAAAACTAAAAAATTAATGGCTAAAAATATTTCCAGTTTGGTGAGAGACATAAATGGTCAGAGTCAATCATCTGAGTGAACCCCAAGCTGGATAAATTACAAAGGAGACTACACACAGGCACACCAGAGTGGGCCTTCTGAAAACCAAAGATAAAGAGGAAATCTCGAAAGCGTCCAGAGAAAAACGAAACAGAAGACCAACAGTTGAGACTAGCTGACTTACAAGCGGAAACCATGAAGGCCAGAAGACAGTGCAACGTATCTTGTTCCAGTACAATAAAGGAACAACACTAAATTGCTCACGGGAGGGGGAAAGCATCAAAGTCAGAATTCTCTTGTCAGCCAGAAACATTTAAGACTGAAGGTTAAATCAAAACTGTGTTTAGGTCAAAGAAAACTAAAGAATTCTTTTCGTTGGCAGACCTGCACTACAGAAGAAATACCAAAGGAAATTCTTCAAGGTGATAGGAAATGAGAACAGATTGGAACCTGGATATTTTGGAAATGATCGAGATCATTGGAAATGGTAAATATCTGGATTATATAAAGGAATACTTTTCCCCTCTTAATCTTAAAGAAATAAGCAGGGCTTTTTAAGGCAAAAGTTATAAAATCGTCTTACAGGTTTTATGATATATGTAGATATAAAACATACCACAGCTGTAGCATTAGGTCCAACAGAGCGGGGATGCGTGGGTTCAGGGTTTCTACCTTTTACATGGAGTAGGACAGAAGTCATCCCAAGTAAACTAAAAAGGTATGGTTGTATGTTATGATCCCGAGAACAGCTACTAAAAAATGATGCAAAAAGATTTAAAAATAGGTAAGTTGGGCGCCTGGGTGGCTCAGTCGTTAAGCGTCTGCCTTCGGCTCGGGTCATGGTCCCAGGGTCCTGGGATCGAGCCCCTCATCGGGCTCCCTGCTCGGCGGGAAGCCTGCTTCTCCCTCTCCCACTCCCCCTGCTTGTGTCCCTGCTCTCGCTATCTCTCTCTCTGTCAAATAAATAAGTAAAATCTTTAAAAAAAATAAAATAAAAATAGGTAAGTTGCAAGTGAATTCCAAAAACATTCAAAAATCCAAAATAAGGCAAGAAAGGATAAACATGAGAACAAAAAGACAAACAGGAAAAAAACAATAAAGTGGGAAACCTAAATCCAACCCTATCAGTAATTATCTTCTAATGTCAATGTACTAAACTCCACAGTTAAGAGGCAGGGCAAATATTGTCAAAATGAATATGAAAGCAAGACATAACTGTGTGCACTTTATCGAGATAGGTTGAAAGCAAACAGAAGCAAAGACCTACCATGCACACAGTGATCATCGGAAGTCCAAGGTATCTATATTAATAATATATAAAATAGAATTTATTTTTATTTTTTAAGGAACTTGCGTTGGTTTACTTTTTTGTTCATTTTTCCATTAAGTTTTTATTTTAATTACAGTATAGTTAACATATAGTGTTGTATTAGTTTCAGGTGTACAATATAGTGATTACCCAGTGCCCTCATGGTAAGTGTATGCTTTAATCCCCATCCCCTATTTCACCCAACCCCCCACCCACCTAAAACAGACTTTAAAACAGAGTATTACTAGATCTAGATGGCCTTTTTTATAATGACAAAATGATCAGTTTATTTAGAAGACATGGCTGTCATAAGTGGGAATGCATCTAATAATAGAACTTTAGATACATGGAGGAAGAAATCCCACAATAGATTTAAGGGATAAACAGGCATTTCCATATTCATAGCTGGAGATTTTGGCATCCTGTCTCAGCAGCTGAAAGACCAGCTCAATAAATAGTTGGTAAAGTGATAGATAATCCGAGCAGCACTACCTGTCACCTTGACCTGCACGATACTTACACAGTACTGCAACCCAACAACAGAATACACACTCCTCTCACGTGCACACGTTATGATCACCAATATAGACCAGAGTCTGGGGCATAAAATAAGTTCCAGTAAATTGAAAAGAATTGAAATCATGTGAATACGACAATGGGATCAAGGTAGTAATAAAAATCCTAAGTAAGTATCATATGATCTCACTGATAGGAGGAATTTGAGAAACAATACAGAGGATCATAGGGGAAGGGAGGGAAAAATGAAACAAGGCGAAG